CCAGAACGGATTAATGATAATTACATTGAACCTTATGGGGAAATTTGCTTCGGGTTGCGACCAATTCAGGTCGTGACCAGAGTCACGGAACGAATTAAGTTCGTAAACCGAGGTTCCACTGTATTATCAGAGGGTGTCTCCGTCCAATATGCCAGGAAGCATTACGGCGCCATTCAATATGGCTAACGCACATTTTGAAAGAAGAAACGGGCCTTTTGGAGTCTCCCGTTCCCAGCAAGATGGGGGTCAGACTAGCAGACCTCAAAGGTGCCCTTCAAGCTGACGATTCTAGGAGGACGATTCCATTTTAACGGGTCTGCATTCGGACTCACAAACAGCCCCGTGCTTCATTGCTGCTGGATCTGTGTGTGGCGTGAACGCAGACCCTGCAGCTGGTAAGCCAGGATTGACAGCTTGGGGAAGCATCCCCAAGTCTTACTGCCACATTGAAACTTGGTCTGTGTGAACCACCGTTTTCTTGCATATAGGCACCATTTCAACCCTAATCAGCTTCCGGCCCGGATCCTCTTTAACCCAATTCTCACTGATATTCCTATAAAGACAGAGAGATTCTGCTAAAAAACAGACCAGGTTCCACAAGGATAGCGGACGGCTTTGGCCCACACACGGCATTATGAGTTTCGTTTCCCTGCTGCACCGTCCACTGGCCCATCTTCTCGCAGCTAGAAAGGAAGCAAAGCAAGAATTACGGCCGAGACACACGCAGCACCGCGAGGAACGCTGGATTCGTTGCGGGTGGGGTTCGTGCCCTTTTTAAAAACAGCGTCCTCCCTAATATTCAAAAAGTCCCAAAGGCGCATCAGCCATCTGGACTCAGAAGGCAAATGCTTCTCCTTATAGTTTGCCCATTAATAATCAACGCTTTCAGCTGTACTGCTCCTGGACATGGAGGTTCTGCTAGTTTAAAAAAAAAACAGCGGGGCTTCAATTTTGTATTTGGCTGTGTGGTCTGTAGGCTAAAATAAAGTCTGAAAGGCAACACAGGATGGATCAGGGCAAAACATGGAACGCCTGTTTGGCTCCAGGGGTGGGTGTGGCTTAGCTAAGCCCCACCCCTGCCCTGCAATCAATTAATTAATTAAGAATGGACTTTTGCGAGGGCAGCTGTGCGGGAATCATCAGCCAGTGAATATTCACCCCGTTTTCACCAGGCCGCTCTGAGACGTTATGCTAGAGCCCGCTCGGTTCTGCACGCCCACCCGCCTTTCTTGCAAGGTAGGCCGCTTGGAAAGCAAACCGTACGAGCTTGAGGCTTACTCGGTCCAAGGGTTGCAACAGCTGTTGTTGTTTTCGGAGTAAGTGCCATCAGGACACCTTTTGCAGAAATATCGGTACTCAATCGTGCCTGGAGGAGAAAAGCAAGGCGGGGTGGTGAAATATATATATTTTTTTAACCAAGCAGCAAACTTAGATTTAAGAAGAAGGCAGGGGTCAGCATTAT